AACACTGTTTACTCAACCTATCTCTAGTAATGCAATAATTTCAGGCCTGCATACTGGCATTTTTAAATGCACACAATATTAAACTTATATTCGTTATTTGGAAAAGTATAATGTAAATGTGCGTCGGATTCACGCACGAAGGTTTCGTCTGTTGTACGGAAGCCTTCTTAAATATTTATATTATTCTTCTATTTGTTGTTGAAGCAACAATAGAAATAAATCATCTGAGGGCGACCTAAGAATCATCTGAGGAAATTTCAACTGTCTAACTTTCATTTGATACTGGTTGGTGATAGACAGCGATGTCTTACCAATAACGCTCCCGTTTTATCCTTTGGGCACGGAATCCTAATATAGGTCTTATGTTCCGCACACCGGCTTTGCATGTTTTTTTTGTTTAGCTTCCTTTGAGGTTGAATTTTATTTATTGATAACCGTAGCCCCAAATATATCTATTTATGTAGCCTAAAACTAACTTCAAAACTGACGGACTTCCATACTACCTTTCAACCCCTATTTCACCAAAGATTAAGGTACAGTCAAACGTGGCTAAGGAAAATATGGAAAATAAAGTAGGATTAGAAATAAGTAGAAATATTAAAAGGTCAAGATAATCAAGAAAAAGAAAGAAGAATGTATTAGTTATAAATATCATAAGAAAAGACAAGCGTAAAAAGAATAATGCCCACTGACTAGGTGTCCTAAACACTGGGAAAAGAAAACAAATAAAAAAGAAAGATAAAATGACATAAAAACGACTTGATACTGATACAGGTCAGATTAAAGAAAAAAGGGTTGAATTCCCAAAAGTAATTCTCTAGTGAGGTCCTACTCCGTACAATAACTTTACTGATCAAATATCATGGGTCTAATATATTAGCTTTATAATTTTTTCACATTTTCTATATTTTATGTTATGGTTTGGTCGCATACAAATGCCATAATTAATTTTGAAAGTTAAATTGTGGCATTTGTATAACATTTAACTGACACAATAATATTTGTAAAACAGTAGTTTATCTTTTAGCTAATAGGTTTTAAAAATAGTAGAATAATGTTAATATTTTTAGTGGCAAAGATTTGTATAACCAGAATGATATCTGGATAAAAACTTTTAAAAAAATAGAACCTACTTAAATTTTGAAAAAAAGGAAAAAATAATACTAATGTCAGAAGCCACTTATTCAAGAAAATGCTGTTGAAGTCGGGCTCCTATCATTTAATGAATACTCGTATCTTAAATTAAACCTTCGCCCGACATCGAAGTTGGTTCTATTTTTTTTTAAGTTTGTATTTCATAATTTTTAGTGACATTGATATTTTTTAATATAATAGGTAACACTAAAATAGTTTTATGAAAACCGTGTTAAAATCGGTTCAGTCAAACGCGAGATAATCGCGGACAAATATATATACATCGATATCGAAAAGAAAAGAGCTTACTATGTTTGACGAGCGTATGTTTTTTTTTAATTTCCCCGCTTTCAAAGTTTGTAAGATGTTCATATGAACGATTAACTAATTAAAAAAATATACGGGATATTAAATACGTGGAAATAATACTCATACTCATTAGTACATGAAGATTCTATTGCAATCGTGTGATTAATATTAAACAATAACCTACAAAAAATATCCGACGTAGAAATTGTTCTTTTAAAAAAAAAATATTTGGATACTACAAAATATTTTGGGAAATGTATAAGTTTTATTCTTAGAATGTTAAAAATAATTATTATTAGATCGTTGTTTTCTACTGTTATTATTCAGCTAGTAACAACAATCTAAGCAGGAAATCATAGTTATCACAAGGAAATGGTTACCACGTTCCTGAATATCCAATAATTTTATATTCAAACCATGTTTCTAATAGAGACGGTCATAGTATTCGAAACGATCTGTTTTCGGTTTATATCTGTGTATTATCCTTCAAAGTGTCTTCCTGGTCATTTTGATTATCTACCTTATTTTCATCTGGAGTGTGGAAATGGTAGATATTCTGTTGCACAAACTATACTAAATTTAGTTTTTTCAATTTCAATTCTATCAAATTACAATTAAAAATAACTAAAAAAAGAAGTAAAGTTATATTTCTTTGATTACCTTTGTCTGGATAACGTTAAAACAAAACGAAATTATTAGGTATTTTATTTCTTTATTACAATTGCCATTTCTTATGTTCCAAGGTTATAAAATAAATGTGTGGAACGAATATGTTATGTTATAGAATTAGCAATAATGTTATGTTATAGAATCTATGTATTCTATAACATAACATTATTGCTTAGCTGTTTAAAGATTAATAATATTGTATTATACATTGTTAATATTTGACAGCCAACTATTTATTTTATTTCAAATTAGTTGTTACATAAGCGACATCGCCCGCGTAAATTATAACCTACTAGTGGCCGCCAGCGACTTCGTCCGCGTTTTCCATTATTTCTTCGCTTATTTGGAGCGAAGAAATAAAGGACATATTATATAGCGTAAAGCCTTTCTCGATAAATGGTCTATTTAACACAAAAAGAATTGTCCAATTCGAACCAGTAGTTCCTGAGATTAGCGCGTTCAAACAAACAAACTCTTCAGCTTTATAATATTAGTAACCTATGTGACCTACTCGCGTATGATTTAGCTTCCCGTAGTTGAAAGAATTTTAAGAGCTGGTACAGTGTTCAATGCATAAAATAACAACAATGGTATAAATCATTATAGGTATTTGTTAAGGTAAATGTTCTTCAATAAAATTATAAGATAAACATATAATAGAAAAATAAAATCATGTCACTTATCTCATCTAAGTAAAAAATGTATTAGGAAATATAGTTAGATTAAACTTTACGCCAATGCAGACATAAGTACAGTAAACGGCATGTCTGGTTATACAAAACTGTCAAATTTTTCCTCTGGATTTTAAACCTTAATACGTTAAATTAGACAAATTGTGGTAACCTGAAATGCTACCTTGTGTACGTTAAAAATATCTTTAAGCGATATTCATTTTAACTTATTATACTAAATCGTCAAATTTTTCCGCTTCATTGTAAACCTTAATACGTTGAATTAGACAAATCGTGGTAGCCTAAAATGCTGCCTTGTGTACATTAAAAATATATATAAACGAAATTCACTTGAATTTATTGCAATAAATAAATAAATTAACTGTAAGTTTAAAAAAATAATAACAATTTTAAACATATTAATATTTACATACCCGCATTTCGTTAAAAATTAAACTTCAATTATTATCCGTAATTGCAAAACACATCCATTTTATTTAAGAAACATAATTAACACTAAAGGTGGTTATTTTTGTAATTATTAAAAACACTTTGTCACTACATTTTTTTTTCGTGAATCTATAAACGCCTTTGAAATTAGAATGGCTCATCTGACTATGAGCACTACATTGTAAAATTGGTAATGGTGGGGAGACGAGAATGTGTCTTTCTTAATCAGGGGTCTATTTTCAAAATTTACCGCAATCCCTTTCAGTTTGACATTTGAAAGATATTTACGAACTTCACCATACAACTATGTGACGTGATAATCATTGCGACCGCTACGTTTTTTGTAAGATAATGAATGTATGATGTCGTTAATTAGAATTTTCTAACCAGAACTATTGAGAAATGTAAAGCTAACTACAATCATTCGAAGAGTTTAATTAAGTGTTTATTATGTTTTTGATCATTGAAATCACAATTCGTTCTAAAAGCGAGCGATTACGACTTTATAGTTACATAATTCCATAAATCGCTATTGCCTTGAAAGGGATTGTTGGAAAACAATTAACCTATAGTTTCATTTGTAATGGATTTGAACCAATGCTAATACAGATGTTACTCTAGCCATCTCTATTTTAACATAAAGGGTAAATGGGACCCTTATTACTAAGACTCCCCTGTTCGTCTGTTTGTAACCAGGCAGTTTGTCCCGTGGTGAACCTTACCCCATTCTTACTTTTACAAAAATAATCTTCATAGTAATTATTATTAATCTTGGTAAGTAAGGAGGTAAAATGGATTTTTTTGTGAAAAAAATTGAGTCACGTCATCAAAATTAGTTTAAAAACGTTACATTTATCGGTTTGCTACGGGTATCTACCATAGTTTATATATTTTTTCAATATCTTATCGAACTTCCGTACTAATTACTGTTACTTAATAACAAATAAATAGTTTGCTAATAAACAATATTGAAGATTACCAAGGAGTTGTTGTTTATTAAAATTATACTTTAATTCTATCATGTAAAAAATTCGTTTAGATAATGCACATTTTAATAACAACTCGCTTATTGTATTATCAGGAACGTGACTATGAAACTTTATCACAAAAAAAATATCTGTTGACATGTTTGTGCGTATATTTTTTTATTTTGTTTGTCTGATCGATAACATGTTCATATTTACTAGATTTTACTAATAATAATATATATTAAATGCTGGAGAAGCTCGATAATGCAGTGGCTAACGCATTCGATCGTAAGCCGAAAATTAAGCGATTCTGCAAAATCCGGCCATATAATGGATAACCAAAAAATATTATCTCGAGCTCCTCCGTACTTCGAACACGTTAAGCCGTTTATCTATAGTCGCTGACATGCACAAATCCGCTCTGGGCCCGTATGGTGGATCATTATAGCCCATTCTTTCTATTATCAATAATAATAGTATATTAAAAAAGCAACCACACAATGTACAAATAACAAATAACAATGAAGAAATAAACACACAAAGTGACCCTAAAATGTTATCCATTCAGGATAATGTCGAGGTGTCGTTAAGACACCACAACACTGATCTTCCATGGACAGATGGACACAAAATCAGGAGAACACACTACTATGCACAATAATTGTATGAAATACTTAAATAAACATTTAAATTTGATACGTAAACGATTACTATCGAACCATTTTCATCCATAGGAAACGAATCGAATGGCCCTGTGCCTCAGCAGTTGGGACATTCATATACTGATGATGATACTCACCGCTGATGGTATACACTGGTGTATTGGCGACGTGCGGTGATTGATCCTCAATCTTCTCCGCTGGTTTGACCACATCTGGTGCACCAACCATGCCTGCAGACAAAGAAAGATCTTTATTAAAAATCAATATCATCATTCATATACTCGGGGGCCTAATTGTCTAATTACGAAATCGATCGAGACCCCTTTTAATTTTACATTTGAAAGATATTCGCGAATTTCACGCTAAATCTATTTGACATGCGCTAGCGATTTCGATAATGACTTTTTTAAAAGATGTTGAATGTGAAGTATCGTTAATTTGACGTTAATTGTCCTAAGCAAGCGTTAGATGCAAACATTACTTTGAAAGCTTTTGAGAAGTATCAAACGAAAGAATGCTAATTGCAATCTTTCAATAAACAGGTTTAGCTAAGCTATGTTTCATGATAATTTCAATAATCATTCGTTCTGAAAACGATTGCGTCTTTAATCGTTACATGATTCCATAAATTACTATCACAATCGCTATAAATTTGAAAGGGATTGCGATACATTTCGAAAATAGACACTCAGCTCAGTGATTAAGATATTTCAATTTTTTTTGTTAACGTAAAGAAAGTGCACCTTAACACTCAAATCAGGGCCCGCCAATATTTAGACCTACCTTAAAAGGGCAAGGTCAAAGCGTAGTTAACAACCCATTGCGATGTATACCTCTTGCAGAAAAACGGATTCTATATTATGTGAGTAAGGCCGGCAGAACACATTTCAATCCTAATTTTGACCTAAAATAATATTATAACAATATCCTATCCTACCTATGCAGGAAAAAAATGTAGTGAATGTACAAAAATTACATATTGACTTCGTTATAGTGAATCATATTCACTATTTTTAACCTGCCAACATTAGAGAACATAATAGATTTCTATTAACATGTTATTACTTATAACTTGTTATACATATAAGTATTATTCTATAAGGTATATTTTAGACTAGCTATAACTGTTTTCCTCCGTCTTCGGTCACGTAAAGTACAGCCTATGTCACCCGCGTATGATGTAGCTTCCGTAGGTTAATATTATTATATAATGTATAATTTTTTATATCGGTCCAGCAGTTTTGGATCATATTGAGTGCAAACAAACAAACAAAATGTTCCTCTTTGTCATATTAATTTAGATTTTAGGTATTAAATTATTATCTACAAATACACGCATTAAAATATCAAGATACTTATCAAAATATAGGCATGCTATTTTAAGCGATTTTTTAAATCAAGATTACATTATTTATCAAAAGTTTTCACATATAAATATTATTTTTTCGGTAAATTGTATATTTTTAGCATCAAGATAATTAATTATTACCTATCAGGAAATTATTACTAGCTATTAGATAAATAACCGTCTTATTTTTCAAAACATGTTAAAAAATCAAGATATTGGTATTACCAATTCTTTTGGAAAAATAAGATAATGTTAATTTAAAAAAATATATGTATATAAAAATTTTACAGAGCCTCTCGTACCATCAACATTCATCTTGTTCCTAGATTCTTTACATTGAAAACTTTTTATAGCTCAGATATTAAACAAAAATTTATCAGTTAGTCTGAATTTCCCCATGAAAATAGACACAACATTTTTAAAATAATTTAAAAACAGTTTTTGAGCTCAATTAGCCTTTGTCTCTATCTATCTCGTTGCCGAACGAAAGAGAGCGAATTTATAGAGACTAACAAACGGCAAATCACTTTTATCATAATCACCAGCCTCTTAAGGACACAGGCCTTCCCTATAGATAATAGGGAGAATAGGCCATGGATAGGTGTGGTATTAACGACTACAGGTGTAGTCGACAATAACGGCTTTACGTGCCTTCTGAAGCACAAAAGAGCTCAAAAAAATAAATTTTTGTTACCCATACTATGACTGGCCCTTGCGAAAATTACTTACTTAACAACAGAACAGATATCGCAGAATAAGCTATCGATCTTATAACTTTTATTCTATAGCCTATTTACTCATAAGTTTTATTTAAAAAATTTCCTTAGTACGGGGTTACGTATACAAACTGATTCATTTCGCTCCAATAGAACATATTGATCGTTGAAATTGGGGTCAACACGTGACAAATGTTTAGTATAGTCGGAATTGGTGTATAGTGTCGTTAGTTATAAGGCTGCTTTACATTTCATTAAGTAACCGATGAAATATGAATGAAGGTATGTAATACAACTACACGAATAACTACAATAATAGTATTTGGACTTTTCAGTGTCAAATCACCCAGTTTTACCGCAATTTTTAATATATTTTATTACAGTTAATAATATAATTTACTGCATAGAATAATTATAAAGGTATTGATGCTTTAGCTCTCAGTTTATTAATTTTATTATGTACATTATGTTCTCTTTCAAAAATACTGAAGTCAGTCATAATAATAAAAGTAACAATCAATTAGAATAGTGATTTAATAAAAATACACTTAGTACATTTCGGATCATACATAGTTATCACGATTAAATTAAAATTACGAGAAAAATACAAATTTCAGTTATAAAGATATATAAATATTTACATTAAGAATGATAATTACTGATAAACAACTAAATACGTTGAAATATTAGTCCCCGGTTTGTTGTCAATGATTTGTTGACCACAGAACTGCTAATAATAATAATTATAACTTTATTACTAATAACATCTAGAAGACTTTAATTAAAATGAATATTCATGGTCGCTTTTAGCATATGAGAGCTCAGTACGCCATCTTAGACATCACTACCTTAGGGGAAAAGACAGCATTCGCAAAAGGGAACGTAATTACTAGATAATACAAATAATGAAAAATAATTGATAAAACTTATTTAAATAAAGAATAATTTGATTTTACTTTGATAGGTACAAAACTATTTTGTTTTTAATTACACAAAGGGATATTTATTATAAGTCATTTATCGTTCATGTCGCAATAGTAGATAATAAATTAAAAATAAAAAAGAAAACAGCAAAATAATAAACAAGTGATAAATTGCAATTCGCTTATTAGGTTTTTAAGTCACGAGACAAAACAAGTGACCGAGTTTAGAATGTTTGATAAGCATGTTTCTTTGGAAAATTTGAGACAAATAATGTTATGTACTAGTAAATTATTAAAGATTAGTAGAATTAAAATCAAAACACATTAACCTATACTTAATATTAACCCATAGAGATAAAGTTTCTTATTTTGGTTGTTTGTAATCTTCTGAAATGCTGATCCAATCATGAAAAATTATTTTAGCTACGAGAAGCTACGTTATAAGCGGATGACATATTTTATAGGCTATAATATACGCGGAAAACAGCTACTTTATCATAAAAATGTAATAATATTATGACATAGTGCTAAGAAATTTCGTAAAGGCTGATTATAATTAGACAGGTGAAGTATAATTTATTGCCTAAAGCTGACCGTGCTATGGAAGACAGTGAAATGTTACACTACTAGTACCAGAAAAAAATAACACTCAAATGCGCTATCATTTTTATTATTGTTTATTATGGACTTGTACCTAGGTTGTTTTTGCTCCGTGAACACATCTTACTCTTTGAGGCGTCAAAAAAAGGAAATATGAACATTTTTCTAAACAAAGGTATGAAAAGAAAAATACAAAAGCCTCGCAATGCAAAGCACAATAAACATACTGAACCCACTCGAACAAACTCGCCGATAACAGTTAAAAGAAAATAATTAACTGTATCTTGTTGACAATTATGATCTGTAATAATATTAAAAAATACTAACCTATTGTTTTACTGTAATAAGTCAATGTCACTATAAACGTTCTCTGCATAATGAAATTACTGTTTTATAATTTATAAAGGTAAAAACCACTAAAGATCATCTAGTTCAATGATATATCTAGATTCTAGAAGATCAAAATAATAACCTTACAATTTAAAACATATAAGCGTGTATTATTGAAAATATATAATGTTTATATATTTAATACTTTTCGATAGCAAAATCGTTGAATGAGATTGTTCTTATAATAAAGATAGGTAGATAAACTGTTTATTTTCAGAAAGAGCATATATTAAAATAAGTTGGAATTTCGTTTATTTTAAAAAAAATGCTAATATCGTTATAATCTTCAATATAGGATAATTATAATTTTATAAATAAAACATACTTTTTTACAGCGACTTCGCTCGCATTATTGTCACCCGCGTTTGATGTAGCATATCGTAGTGAAAGTTTTTTACATCCGTAAAGTAATTTTGAAGTATATTCGACGCAAACAAACAATCAACTCTTTCGTCTTTATAATATTAGTTTGGATTTAACATATTTACGTTTGATTTTATATTCTTTGTCTACTATTATTAAGTTTTGAATATTAGCTTTTTGGATGTTTTTGGACATACGAGGGTCAAACTGAAAGTTCTTAGAACTGGCCACTTATAAACAATATAATAAAAAAATAATTCTAAAATTTGAAAATATAACTCTTTGCCAATATTACTGAGTATATATTTCATTCATTTGTCATTTGTTTTACGATTTGGCGGCAAATTGAAAATTGTCTGTGTCACGTCATCATGAATTTAACACGAGAAAATTTTCGTGCAATGATTTTTTATGACTTTCGATGTCATTTAAGTCAACAAGAAAGTTATGATAGACTACGATTGGCCTTTCACGATGAAGCCCCATCTCGTGCGACTGTTTACAACTGGTTTAATGAGTTTAAACGTGGTCGCACTAATCTCACTGATGATTTACGTGAGGGACGGCCTTCTACGGCGACGACTGAAGATAACATCTGTGTTGTGCGGCGTATGATAGAGACTGACAAAAGAGTGACCTATCAACAGATTCGGACAAGCTTAGGCATCGGTATGAGTCAAGTGCACAAAATCCTCCACGAACATTTAGCGGTCAGGAAGCTTTGCGCCCGGTGGATACCTCATAATTTGACTGAGGCTCAAAAACTCCATCGTGTGGATTGGTGTCGTAAAATGATTGAAAGATTTAACGGAGGTGACTCAAATGCTGTGTTCGACATACTAACAGGTGACGAAAGCTGGATTTACTGTTATGATCCTAAAACCAAAAGA